AAATCAGCCGGGCGTGGTAGCGCGTGCCTGTAAATCCGGCTACTCGGAAGGCTGAGGCGGAAGGATCGCCGGAGCCCAGCAGGTCGAGGCTGCGGTGGCCAGGAGAGGCCACTGCACTCCAGTCTGGGCGACAGAGTGAGACTCCAACTCAAAAAAAAAATAAAAATAAAAATGCACTTTTAAAGCGTAGATTTCCATCTTGCATTACTTTGTGTCTTGGAGTCTCTCTTTCTCATGAATTACTTTGCACCTTGTTTGAAGTGAACCATTTTAAAATTTACATCCTGTCCTACTTTTATTTCAAGACTTTACTTAAAATATCTTTTTTTCTCTTCATCCTACTCAGATATGCATGAACATTTTATGCATTTCACACTCTTAAAGATGGAGAAAATAATATGCTAATCTGAATAGTGGTAAAATCAGAATCAGTAGAGATGTTATTTTCAGAAGAGTGGACAATGGTATATTTTCCTAATACTAACATTTATCTGCTTAGTTAATATAAGAATCAAGCAGAACACATGTATTAACAAAACAAGACTGTAGAACCTTGAATTTGGGAGTATTCTCAATTTGATGGATCCTAGTGAGTGTTTGCTTCTTGAGGACGGGTAACGTTTTCTCACTCCCTTTTGCATCTGCTACTCCATTAAAAAGTCATACATAGCAGTTACTCAATGCATTCTTAGATGAAATGGACTAAATTGAAATTAATAATCAATACTTACAAAGCATGTAATACTAGACTTAATTTTAGTAGGAATCACACTAAGAATGACCAAAAAAGAGATTTTGTCTAGGGATTAAGTGCTGAGTCATGTGACTCTCTAGGTCTGGTGTGTAGACACATCCAAGAGAGGCCACAGTCCAGGAGGGAGCTGCTGGAAAGCAGACTAGAAATGAGATAAGAAGTCCTCAAATTTGAGTATGAAGCAAAACTACCTAATTTGGGACTTCATAAAGTATAGAATGCAGGGCCCTACTTCCTGGGAATTTCTATTCAGTAAATATTGGGTGAGAATAGAGGATTTGCATGTCTAGCCATGTCATTCACAGGTGATGCTGCTGCTACTCATTCAGATAGCACATTTTGAAAACTACTTAATTAAAACTTGGAGAGTTGGCCCAGATAAGGGGATCTGAGCAGGCTTTTGCTTGCTCTGTGATTTGCACTGAGAAGCGGTGATTTCAGAGCTTTCCTAGAGCAGTACTGTAACTAAGTGGACCTCAGAACAGTTTTAAAGATCTTGTTTCCTTCTGATCTGCAGGACTGTCTATACTCTGGCAGAAAAAAGGAGAGAATGGCTTCAAGTATGCAGAGAGTTAAAATTGAAGTCAATAATAGAATGCATGGAATCCACTTAGTAATAAAGGATGAACATCCCCAATCTGAAATCTGAAAAGCTCCAAAATTTGAAACTTTTTGAGTGCCTACACACTATCACAAGTGGAAGAGTCCACACCTCCTCATATAATGGGTCACAGTTAAAATACAGCCAAAACTTTGTTTCAATCACAAAATTATTAAAAATATTATATAAATTGCCTTCAGTCTATATGTATAAGGTGTATATAAAGCATAAATAAATTTTGTGTTTAGATTTGGGTCCTACTTAGATATCCCAAAGATATCTTATGATGTTAAATACAAATGTTTCAAAATCTTAAAAAATGCAAAATCTGAACTACTTCTGGTTCCAAGCATTTAGGATAATACTCAACCTGTACTTTCAGTTCAGTTCATCTAATTTAGCAATGTAAGATCACGGACATATATCTAAGCTAATTTATATATACAATAAGCTAAAGTATCCTTCCTCTGCAGAGGAAGTTTATACTCCTTAGTTGACTGTGCATATGTCAAGGTAAATGGGGAAGGTGGAGAAAGGGCAACCCAGGAAGAGGAGAAAGCCCATTCATTCTAGAGAAATGATTTAGAAGAAACCACATCCTCTTCCCACCCCCCAGCCCTTCCAACTCAATTAGCCCTATCTCCCAGGAAGTTCCTTAGGAACTCATTAGGAAGTTTCTGAAAAGTGGCAATGGCTTCAGTAGTCAGGTAGTATGGAAACAAGTCACCCTCCTGCACTATTGGAAATTTAAGCTACCTAAAATTCAGAACTGCTTTCATAATGCTGCATTGTGCTCAGGTTAGGTTTCTTGAATTTGAAACCTTGAATATATAGTTTTTTCATACTTTTTTATGTGCCTTCCAGATGAATTTTATATAGTGTAATAATCATTTAGGACTTTGGGAGACATTGTCATTTGTTTTCTTTACAAAATTTCTGGGATTCAGATAGATTTTCTCAATTTGTCAACAAAAAGTAATAATGATATTACACTAAAATAAACTATATCAAAAAATATGGAAACATTTTGGTAATCAAATGGTCAAATACTCATATTTAATTTAATTTAATTTAATTTTTGTTAATTTGAAAATAGACAAAAATATCTGCTTAGTTATCATTTCAAGGAAAAGCTTATAGTTCAACCAAGGTATAAAAAGCCACATAAAAATGACTCTGGAGACCTTGGCTACATGTTCAGCGGTCAAATATTTCAATGCTCTGTTGCTCCTGTTCCTGTTACAGGTACATGTGACAGCGCTGCAGCTATGAGTGGAATTTTAAAGAGGAAGTTTGAAGAAGTTGATGGCTCCTCGCCCTGCTCCTCTGTGAGGGAATCAGATGATGAAGTTTCCAGCAGTGAAAGTGCTGACAGTGGGGACAGTGTCAATCCATCCACTTCTAATCACTTTACCCGTGAGTACTAAAATCAGACCTAAAGCCTGTTGTCTGGCTTTATAGCAAAAATAATTATGTCATTGTTCTTTTTATCTTTAACGCCAGCTATCACTTAAAAAAAAAATTTTCCAATCAGTAAAAGACAAAGGACAATTACTCCAAAATGAAATATTTTTGAGGCAACTCAGTGGATTACTTTATTTAGAACACTTTTGGCAGGGGATTATTTGATCATGTTAACCAACTGATTGAATGGAAAATGACATTTCATTAATATTTTTCCAAGGAAATGCCCAGTGGCCTGGAAATTGAGGGAAGAGAAACAGAGTGTAAATTCAGGTTCAAAATATATATATATATATATCCTTTCTGAACTGAAAAAATGTTCTGGGAGGAGAAAAAAAGGCTGTATTTAGGAGTGGAAGGTCTAAGTTATGATGAGAAAGAACTGAGGCAGGCATGCATTAAGAAAAGATATGAAGGCAGCAAAACTCTCCTAAATGTGCAAGTGTATACAATCTACTGCCTTTTCCCTTTATTCTCTTTCTCTCTAAGAATAATATTTAAAACCAACCAAGAAAAAAATTATTTCTTTTTCTGCCACACTGTAACATCAGCTCTTCCTGTCAGGCAAAGTAATATGAGGTTTGATGGGCTGATATGAAAAATTCTTAGGGTAATGCAACCTATAAGCTAAAGGAAACTGACTTGTAATATAGTTAAATCTCTCTGAATGTATGTTTCTTAAACAGGAAGATTTTAATATGTTTTAATATCATGATAGGTAACTGGTCATGATTTTTAATTTCCAGTAAGTTAATTTTATTAATATATGATTCTATAACATAGAATTTATTTTGGAAATGTGGCAACCCTAAAAACCAACCTATGCAAACATATTCTTAAGAGATAGTAAGGAACTCAATAATTATTGAACTTGAAATAAATAAAGGCAAATCAATGGCATTTCTTTATGCAAGCGTGACTAATTAGAAAAGGCAGTGACAATTATTATAGCAGAAAAATTAATAAAATATTAAGGGACAAAGTTATTGTGTGATGTAGGTTATCTACAAATACATTTATGTATGTCATGATGATATGAAATGAGCTTGTGTTTTTGATTCAAAAGAAGATAGGCATTTACGTTTTTGGTCTTAATACTAGTAGTGACAATGACAAAACCATCTTTTCACAGGGTTTTGCACACATCAAACCAAGAAAGTGACATAATAAGACATTTAAAAAAAGCTTTGTAAAATTTCAGGCACAAGGCACATGCTATTCTACAAATTATGATCATAGCTAACATTTAGCAGATTTGAAAAAGATGTAACTTAAAGTTATATCTTACAGAATATGCCAAAATAGCAGATGGATTAAATACATAAATATATATTTTTTAAAACTAAATTATGGGAAAAGTTGCATATTTGCCAGACATTTAGTAGAATCATTATATGAACTTTGATGTAATAGGAAAACACAATCACGTTGGAAAAAACTTAATATACTTAATGATGTAAAAATATTAAATTTATCTGCTGTCAAAAATAAAAAGCCCCAAGAAAAAGAAAAACAATTTATATTGAAAAAAAAAAAAACTTGCGGTTAATATGTACAACATTAGCTAGGCTCGGTGGCTCAGCCTGTAATCCCGCACTTTGGGAGGCTGAGGTGAGTGGATTGCCTGAGCCTGCAGGTTCGAGACCCGCCTGGGCAACTTGGCGAGACCTCATCTCTACAACAAATCAAAAAATTAGCTGGGCGTGGTAGTGTGCGCCTGTAGTTCCAGCTACTTGGAAGGCTGAGGCGGAAGGATCGCCGGAGCCCAGCAGGTCGAGCCTGCATTGGCCGGGAGCAGCCACTGCACTCCAGTCTGGGCGACAGAGTGAGACTCCAACTCAAAAAATAAAAAAAAAATGTACAACATTATTTTCTAGATAAAGTATAAAAACACATGTAAGTTTCTAGAATAAACACTGACACATCTTCAAAGATAATTCACATAGGAGGAAATATGTTTAGCAAATATTTTAAAGCATTTAACACAGTAATAAAATGAAAATTAAAACAATATTCATGTGATACTCATTGCTATTAATGGCAGTAAAATTTAGAAAACACTTTGGCAATATAAGAACTATGACAGTGTCCATAAGTTACACTTATGAATATTCATACTTAAGAGAATTTATCTGAAGGGAGAAACACGAAAAAACAGGGACAAAACTGTATAACTGAAAATGTTGATAGTTAATAGTGGTACCAAGAAACCAGGGGAGGGGGATGGGAGGGAGAAGAAGGTAACATGTCCAAGAGTGGGGAAAGGATCCATTAAGTTATGATAACTCACTCAATTGATTTATTTTTATGATAGCTATGAAGACATTATCGCAATATGTATAGTGCTTATGAATTAACATTAAGTGAGAAAAGCACTGAGGTGAGTGGATTACCTGAGCCCGCGGGTTCGAGACCCGCCTGGGCAACTTGATGAGACCTCATCTCTACAATAAATCAAAAAAATGAGCCGGGCGTGGTAGCGCGCGCCTGTAGTTCCAGCTACTTAGAAGGCTGAGACGGAAGGGTCGCCGGAGCCCAGCGGGTTGAGGCTGCGGTGGCCGGGAGCGACCATTGCACTCCAGTCTGGGTGACAGAGTGAGACTCCTACTCAAAAAAAAGAAAAAGAAAAAGAAAAGCACAACACACCATTTTATCTATACTGTCAGTCAAAGTCAATGCATTCACAAAGGCAAAGAATGGTTTGAATGTCCTAAAAATGGAAAATAATTTGATTTGTTGAGGTATTAAAATGATGGACACATTTTTATATTTATTAATTTTATTTCTGTTCATATTGCATGTGTTCTCACAACTAATAAATGTCTAATTTAAACAGCTAAAACTGATAACTGTAGTTCACATTGTTTTGTGTATGTAGAACAGCAGTTTAAAATGGCGTGATAAGCTAAGTTATACCTCAGCCAACAAATACAGATTTTTAATTTTCCCATGGAAGAAAATAGACTTATATAAAATAGTTATTGAAGTGTTTCAACTCATTATTTAATATTATAGGTAGCGGCCATGGTTAGTTTACTAAAATGCTGATTTAACTTCTCATTAAATAGAATATGGCAGATGTTTTTTCTAATTATTAAAGATAATTAAATGATTTAATTAAAAGTTCCCTTTTCAATTTTTTTTTTTTTTTTTTTGAGTCGGAGTCTCACTCTGTCGCCCAGACTGGAGTGCAGTGGCCGCTCCCGGCCACCGCAGCCTCGACCTGCTGGGCTCCGGCGATCCTTCTGCCTCAGCCGTCCGAGTAGCTGAAACTACCGGCACGTGCTACCACGCCCGGCTAGTTTTTTGATTTATTGTGGAAACGAGGTCTCGCCAAGTTACCCAGGCTAGTCTCGAATTATGGGACTCAGCAATCCTCTCACCTAGGCCTCCCAAAGTGCTGGGATCACAGGTTTGAGCCCTATACCCGGCCTCCTTTTTATTTAATAGTCTTCTTTGTTCATTATAGTCACATTATGGAGAAAGATAAAGTGGGAGAAATAACAAAGAACCAAAAGACAAAAATTCTACCTAGGATATTTGCTATCTTAAAGATCCAAGCATTTTAACCAGGGTGAGAAGAGTAGCTTCAAGGGTTTATTGTTTCTAGAAATGTATTTCAGATTATTTGCTAGGCCAAAAATTGATATACAAATTTTTAGAAAATACTTTTTTCATTATTTCGTCTAGATTAAGGCACGGGTTTATCTGCAGTGGTCTTATTGGATGTAACTCTGTGCCTATGACTTCCATAAATGTTATTTTTGATAAATCCTACTTTAATTTTTTAACTTAAAAATGATTACCTATCCTAAAGTAAAGCAGTATTTTTGAAGACTATCAAATTTTTTAGCATTAGGAAATGATTTAGTTTCACGCTGAGATGATTTTTTTTTTTTTGAGTTGGAGTTTCACTCTGTTACCCAGGCTGGAGCACAGTGGCACACTCACGGCCACTCCAGCGTCAACCTGCTGGACTCCAGCGATCCTTCTGCCTCAGCCGTCCAAGTAGCCGGAACTACAAGTGCGCGCTACCACGCCCAGCTAATTTTTGATTTTTTTGTTTGTTTGTTTTTGTTTTTTTTTTTGAGTTGGAGTCTCACTCTGTCGCCCAGACTGGAGTGCAGTGGCCACTCCCGGCCACCGCAGCCTCGACCTGCTGGGCTCCGGCGATCCTTCCGCCTCAGCCTTCCAAGTAGCTGGAACTACAGGCGCCTGCTACCACACCCGGCTAATTTTTGATTTATTGTGTAGGTGAGGTCTCGCCAAGTTGCCCAGGCGGGTCTCGAACCCGCAGGCTCAGGCAATCCATTCACCATGGCCTCCCAAAATGCTGAGATTAGACTGAGCCCGCGGGTTCGATCCTGTTCCACACTGAGATTCTTTAAAATGTGATTGCCCTTATTTAAATCTTACTCGTCATGAGCTCATCTTTCAAATTCAAAATATCCCATGTACCCAGTGCTTCATAAGCACTAACATATTGTGTAACATAACGTTTTGTTATCATTGCAAATATAGAAATTGATAAGATTGATTGGTACATGACAGGTTCCTATGGTAGTAGAAAATTCCATGCTATTCTGAGCTTTCTGTTAAAATATTCAATTTGTAGCGCACGATTATGAGAATAACGCTTCAAAATACATATCAATAAGGGCATGATGGCTTTTTCCTTGGACTTCTGAATTTTGCTAGGCAACTAGCATACTTACCAATGATCAACCAAGGTCATATCTTGTAGTTCTCTGGAGACAGAAGCAGCAGAGTATGTATTGCTGTGGAATGCTTTGCTTCATCAAATCCCCATGGCTCTGCAGCCAATCAGTCTGTACTTGAGGACAGACACGGAGAGGAATGCTTTTTTTTCTGCCCTCTCAAGGTTCTTGGCGCTTCACACAAGTAATGAGGATCTGTGTGATGAAACATGGTCTCAAAAGGGACACATTATT